TTCTGATGAAAGACTTGAATAGACATCTACTGAAGAAGATATACAGATGGCAAGTAAGCATGTGAAATGTCATATATCATTAGGGAAATGCAACTTAAAGTGGCCATGAGATGCCACTACACCCCTATTGGAATGGCCAGTATCCCGAACAGGGATAGCACCAAATGGTGGTGAGGATGTGAAGTGACGGAACTCTCACTCATGCCGGTGGAAATGCAAAATAGTGCAGCTACTTTGGAAGACAGTTGGGCAGTTTCTTACAAAAGCAGACCTACTTTTAACATATAATTCAATCATCACACTCCCTGATATTTACCCAAAGGAGCTGAAAACTTAAGAACCTGCACACATATGTTTATAGCAGTTTTATTCATGATTGCTCCAACTTGGAAGCAACCAAGATGTCCTGGTGAACAAACGATGGTACATCCAGGCAATGGAATGTTATTCAACTCTGAAACAAAATGAGCTATCAAGCCACGGAAAGACATGGTGTTAAACTTAGGCATATTACTAAAGAAAAGAAGCCAATCTGAAAATTCGATTGCATTTTCTGTGATTCCAGCTACATGACGTTCTGGGAAAGGCAAAACCATAGAGACAGTATAAAGATCAGTGGTTGCCAGGGGTTTGGTAGATGAGCAGGCAGAGCAAAGAGGATTTTTAGGGCAGTGTAATTGTTCCATGTGATATGGCAATGGTTGTGCTAGGACTTGTATGTGGTTTGTTTGGCCCCACCAAGTCTCTCTTGAAGTTTAATCCCCAGTGTTGGAGGTGGAGCCCTGTGGGAGGTATTTGAGTTATGGAGGTGGATCCCTCATGAATGGTGGTAATGAGGGAGTTTTCGCTCTTAGTTCAAATAAGAACAGATTGTTGCAAAGAGCCTGCCACCTCCTCTCTTTCTTGCCTCCTGTCTTGTCATGTGATCTGCATATATTGGCTCCCCTTCGCCTTCTGCCATGAGTGGAAGCTTCCTGAGGCCCTCATCAGAAGCAGATGTTGGTGCCATGCTTTTATTTTTATTTTTTTGAGGGGGCAGAGTCTTGCACTGTCACCCAGCCTGGAGTGCCATGGTGCAATCTCAGTTCACTGCAACCTCTACCTCTTGGGCTCAAGAGATCCTCCCACCTCAGCTCCCTGAGTAGCTGGGACTACAGGTATGCACCACCATATCTGGCTAATTTTTTTTTTTGTATTTTTGGTAGAGACAGGGTTTCACCATGTTGCCCAGACAGGTTTCAAACTCCAGAGCTTGAGCGATCTGCCCACTTCAGCCTCCTAAAGTGCTGGGATTACAGATGTGATCCACCGTGCCCAACTGTCACACTTTTGTGTGATACTAAGAGTGAACCCTAATGTCAACTATGGACTGGTAATGATGATGTGTCAACGCAGGTTCGTCACCTGTGACAACTATCCCATGCTGGTGGTGGGGGATGTTGGCGGTGGTGGGGGATGTTGGCAGTGGGGGAGGCTGTGCCTGTGTGAAGACAGGGGATATATGGAAACTTTATATTTCTGCTCAATTTTGCTGTGAACCTAAAACTGCTCTAAAAAATAAAGCCTATTAAGAAAACAAAACAAAACAATAAAAAACTCCATGAGAGGAAAAAGGTAAGACAAGGGGTAGTAAGAGCCTGCAGAAGTTGTGGCATGGGCCTAACCCCTGGGCTGGGGCCTGAATTGGGAAGAGGCAGTGGGCTGGGTAGAAGGGATTCAGAAGCATCCATAGGAGTTAGGTTGCTTGGATGGTGGGAGGGCAAGGAAGAGGAGCACGCTGAAGCTCCTTGCTTAACTAGTGATGTGGTGCCATGAACAGAGATATCATGAACCACCTTCAGTATGATAGGCAGTGCCTGTAGGCCAGAGATTGCATCAGAAGATGGGGAGGGAAGGAAGAGGCCTTATAACTGACTAAGATAAGAGAAACCACATTTCATTTTTTTATTTAAGAAATGCCCTGTTGATTTGTCATTTTTCTGTTTTGTGCATCACTTATAGGACATAATGCCATGAGTAACCCATATACAGAAAATTCACAGCCTGAACTGGCTTTGTGGAAGACCCAGACACATTGGGAGGAGAAGGCCAGCCCTATAGGCTGGAAGTGACATTCCTGTTGATAAAGGGCAGAGCATGAGCACACTGAGAGAGGAGATGAAAAGACAAAAACTTCATGCAAAGGATGGGTGTGTTCAGGGGCTGATGAGCTGCAGGTTGCAGAGAGGCCCTATCACGGCCCTCTGTTATTTGCGCTGTCTGCTCCCTTCTCTGAAGGTAGCACTCCTGTGACTCCTCATCTTCCTGGTATGGACGTGAGTTTTCTCTGCCCTGACCACAGTCCATCCTCTGTTCTGCTGTGCCCCACTCTGTGCTCAAGGAGACTGACTGTAGACCTCATCCCCTGGTTCCCTGGCTGGCTGGCTTCTGATTGGGCCCTGCAGGAGATTGAGGGGAAGAGGAGGGAGAGGATGGGCTGTTTGTTCCCTGTTCCCTCCTTGCCTTGCAAAGGCTGTGCTGTGCCCCCAAGACCACAGCAGCCCCACCCTGCTGGCCCCAGGCCTAATGGCTCCTCTGAGGACTCTCCACCTTTGGCCCTGAAAACTTAGGCATGGTCATGGCTTCCCTCTATTGCTAGTCCCTGGGTGCTAGAATATTCTTGGATAGTTCCCTTAACCCAACTCACATGGCTGTGAATGATCCCTTCATTAAAGTCTCTTCAGGCAACCATTTCAGGGAGAAATTGTGTTCTTGAGAAGCATAGAGATTAACAAAGGCTGTCATTGACCATTGTGGACCAAGGTGAGAGGGCAGGGCCATGCCTGCTGTTGTGAGGAGTAGGGGAAGGTGGGGAATCCTACCCAAAGTTGCACTCATCTGCTGGCTTGCAAGTACATTATCCAGAGCCACAGACAAAACCTATGGGTACAGGCAGGTGCTGCCTCCTGCCTCCTTGCAAGCAGACAGCACTGGTGAAGGCTCTGAAGAGGAAGGTGGCCCTGGTGGGCCCTTTGGCCCTTCTAGGTCACTCGGTCAGAGTGGAGCATGGATAGGGGAGGGAGGAGGTATAGGTGGGGAGGAATGCAACACAGAGGGGTGGGACAGACAGAGGGGTGAGGAGTCTGTAGCAGCCTTGATGGACAGTGGTGAAGACCTGACACAGGAAAGTGGCAGAGACAAGGGAGGGCATCTATTCAGGAGACAGACTCAATGTCCTGACGCTCAGTCTTATGTTGAATTTGAGGGTGAGGGAGGCAATGACAGTTCATGTTCCGGAGTGGGTTCCTGAGTAGGTAGAGATGCTGGCCACAGTGAGGGGCAGGTCTGGTCAGGGCCAGGAGCTGCTTTCTGTTGTGGACACATCAATATGTAGGGCCGGCCACCTTTCATATGAACAAACTCAGACACTGTGTGGTCTTTTGTGACTGACTTCTGTCACCTAGCACAATGTTCTCGAGGTTCATCCATGCTGTAGCATGGATCAGTGCTTCATTTTAATTGCCAGATAATAGCATTCTATTCTATAGAAGTAGCACATTTTATTTATGCATTCGTTTATTGGTGGACATTTGGGTTGCTTCTGGTTTTGGCTGTGACAAATGATGCTGCTGGGAACACTTGTGTACAAGGTTTTGTGTGGACATCCATCTTTATTTCTCTTGGGTATATACCTACAAGTACAGTTGCTAGCCAGGAGGACAAATGGTAACTCTCTGTTTAATATTGTAAGGAACTGACAGACTGTTTTTACAAAATGCTTCTCTATTTCTAGTAACATCTTTATGTTTTAAAGTCTTTTTGTTTGATATTAGCATAGCAACCCTAGCTTTCTTCTGCTTATCCCTTGTCTTTTAAAAAAGATGATTTTTATCACAAATGCATATAGCCTAAAGTAATATATTAGAGGACTTAGTTATGCTTATTTGAACTTCATAAAAATAGTGTCATACTGTAAATGTAGTTTCTTGAACTTTTCACTCAACATGCTATTTCTTTCTTTTCTTTTCTTTTGTTGAGATGGAGTTTCGCTCTTGTTGCCCAGACTGGAGTACGATGGCGCAATCTTGGCTCACTGCTCCCTCTACCTCCCAGGTTCAAGCAAATTCTCCTGCCTCAGCCTCCAGAGTAGCTGGGATTACAGGCATGCGCTACCATGCCCAGCTAATTTTTTGTATTTTTAGTAGAGATGGGGTTTCTCCATGTTGGTCAGGCTGGTCTGAACTTCTGAACTCAGGCGATCCGCCTGCCTTGGCCTCCCAAAGTTCTGGGATTACAGGCATGAGCCACTGTGCCTGGCCTCAATATGCTGTTTCTAAGGCCCCCCTATGTTATTGTATGCAGCTACAGTATAATTAATTCATGTTCTCTGCTGTATAATATTCCACGGCATGACCCTTCCATAATTTATTGATCTGTTCTCCTGTCAGTGGCTATTTGGCATGCTTCCAGTGTTTTGCTATGGCAAATTTATTGCTGCTATAAACATTTTTATACACCTCTCCTGATATAAGAGTTTCTCTTGTTCTCAGAGCAACTAGCAATGTAACTATTAGCTAGGAACTTGTTAGAAATGCGACTTCTCAAGTCCCACCCAAGACCCACTGAGTCAGAAACTGCAGGGAGGCCCAGCAATCTGTGTTGTAATAAGCCCTCCAGGTGACTCTGATACCTGATAAAGTTTGAGGTCCACTGCTCTAGGGTATAAAGTAGGAGTGAAATTTCTAGATTGCAGGCAATCAGTTGTTTTCTGAAGTAGTTGTTCCATGTTTCCATGGAGACCCACCTGTTCAGCACTTAGTATTGTCAGACTTCTTTATTTTGCCCACTGGGTGAATCAGTCTGACTGTTCTTCCCTACATAGAGGCATGGGTGTGGCTATTTCTCCTCCCTGCCTGTCCTCCCATCTTGCCCTGTCAAGGGAGCCAGAGCCACACCATGCATGTTGACCCTTCGGATGTCACTGTGGATGAAGCCTTCTTCATTGTGGTTTGTTTTGACAGGAGTACATGCATCACCTGCTCACCCTGGAGCACCGCGCTGAGGAGCAGTTCCTGGAGCACTGGCTGAACCCTCACTGCAAACCCCACTGTGACAGGAACAGGGTTCATCCTGTGTAAGGGCCTTGGGACCAGCCTCGGTATGTCCCCTTCTCCCAGGCCTTCTGTCTGAGGGGTAGCGGGGGATAGCATGGCATGGGCTGGGAGACTTTCCAGACCATGCCTCAGGGGGACCAGCTGGTTAGCTAAATTATGGGTCTGGAGTGGGAGTGGCAGGATTGAGGCAGGAGACATAGAGGGGAGCCAAGAAACATAGAGGGGAGCTGGGGGACACACAGAGGATCCCAACCTCTATTGAGTCACCAAGTGATCCCAAATGGGGAGGGATGTGACCCTATTTGCCACCCAGAAAAGCCCTCTCTCAACACAAATCTGGAGAGGTGTGTTTGTTGAGGCTTGGGTCTCTTCAGGTGGGCTCAGCATGCATGGAGTCAACTTGTGACATTTACCACAATCATCACCACTGTCATCAGGATCAACAACTTCTTTCCCAGGTCTCGCTCCTGTTTCCCACTGCCTTCCTGCAGCCTTCAGGGCTGGCAGTCTGCCCAACCCACACTTTGTCTTTCCTTTCCCCCTGACTTTCATTTTCAGCCCACCAGCAAGGGACTGCCCAGCGTTCCCCTGACACCCCGCATGCCACTGGCTCTGCACCTCTGTGCCGGGATGAGGCTGTTTGCTTCTCCCTGTCTGTCCTTATTGTCTTCCTGCCTTTCCAAATCCTGTTAGAGAAGGTAGCAAAATTCCTTCAGAAGGTAAGCACAGTGACTTTCGTTTCTCTGCTATAAGTTTTATGGACCAAACAGGACGAGATATAATCTGATAGTTTAATTTTGTGGTTAGGAGAAATCTTATCCTTTGTTGTTGTTTATTTTGTGTTATGGTGAATGGACACAGGGACAGTCTTATTAATCACTCTTTATAATATAACATAAAAGGCCTCATATGATCCATTTAACACCCTGGTGTCATTGCAAGGCATGCACTTTAACCCCATTTTAAAGAGGAGCTAACCGAGCATGATTAAGCCACTAACTCATACTAAGCAGTGGTTGGTATGTCAGGCTTCAGACCACTGTAAATATGCATGCTTTATATGGACTGTGTTGCTCAGTCCTGTGTGTATGTGGGTATGGACTCACTCTGAGGCGATTTCACAGATAGTGAGAGAATCATCTGCTGGCAGTGGAATGGAAGTTCTGTTTTTGAGGGGTAGGAGTGGGCTCACATCCCTCTTCTAATTCTTCCGGCTTCTGGAGCTCATTCTAGGTCAGGGTTCTGGTGTGCCTGGGCCTGGCTTCCAACTCCCAGGCTGCTGGCCTCCCCTGCACCAAGGGCCTTTGTCAACCAAGCCAAGCCCTTGCTTGGCTTCTTCCAGAAAACAGGACTGTGGAGCAATTAGATGCTCAGGCTCTGGAACTGGCCAGAGCGGAGTTTGACTTTCTGAGCTCCAGCTCTGTGGCCTCGGGCAAGTTGCCTAACTTCTCTGAGTCTTTGTTTCTGCCTCTGCAAGTTGGTATAATAATGATGTCTAGGGAGCCTGGTGCATAGTAAGTGATTCCAAAAAGAAAAGCACTTATTACTGCTGTGCAGTTGAGGTTAACGGAGAGGTTTCTGGGTTCAGCCCTACAGTCGTATACTCCAAGGTGTGACTGAGGCCTCTGATTCTTGGTAGGACATGTGCTGCTGGTGAGCCTGGGTGCCTGGCTCCTGCAAGCGTGGGGCTCCACAGAGGCCTCACTCCAGGGAGCTCCCACTTACATAGAGACAAGGAAGCAGTGGCTGGAGAAATGTGTCAACTTGGAATAGGGAGTCAGACAGCTTTCAGATAATGAGTCCTCCAGTCACTGTCTGAATAACCTTAGAAAAAAATGCCTAATTGAACCTTAGAAAAAGATGTCACAATCATCTGTAAAATGAGGATAGTAATGGTTCCTTCCTTATGGTTCTAGGATTAAAAAGTCAATGCCTGGAAAATAGTTAGTGTTGCCCTGGCACACATAGGAAGTGCTCAGAAAATGATAGCTGGATGGTGTTTGTTCTTCCTTGCTCTACTCATCCTCTTCCTAGTATCCTCCTTCCCTCCACTTCTTGTTCTTCATCACCATTATAACAATCACCACCACCACCATCACCACTACCACCATGACCACCACCATCACAACCATCATCACCATCAACACTGCCACCATCATCACCATCACTACCACCTGGCCATTACTACCATCACCACTACCACCATCACCATCACCACCATCATCACCATCACTACCACCATCACCATCACCACCATCACCACCAGTATCACCACCATCATCACCATCACTACCACCATCACCATCACCACCACCACAATCACCACCATCATCACCATCCCCACCATTTCCATCACCATCTTCATCACCATCACTACCATCACCATCATCACCATCACTACCACCACCACCACATCACCACCACCACTACCACCATCACAACCATCATCACCATCACAACCGTCATCACCATCACTACCACCATCAGCATCACCATGACTACCACCATCACCATCACCACCACCACCACCATCATCATCATCACCACTATCATCACTGTCACTATCACCATCACCATAGCTACTACCATCACCATCACTATCACCACCACCATCACCATCACCACCATTATCACCATCACCACCATCACCACCACCACTGTCACTACCACCATCATCATAATCATCACCATCATCATCACCACCACCATCATCATAATCATCATCACCATCACCACTACCACCATCATCATTGTCATCACCACCACCAGCATCATAACCGTCATCAGTATCACCACCACCACCATCATCACTATCATTATTATTACCACCACCATCACCATCATCACCATCACTACCACCACCACCACCATCACCACCATCATCACCATCACCACTACCACCATCACAACCATCATCACCATCACCACCATCACAACCATCATCTCCAACACTGCCACCATCACCATCACCACCATCACTACCACCATCACCATCACCACCACCACCACCACCATCATCACCATCACCACTACCACCATCACCACCATCACCACTACCACCATCACCACCATCACCACTGCCACCATCACCACCATCACCACTGTCATCACTGTCACTATCACCATCACCATGGCTACCACCATCACCATCACCACCACTATGACCACCATCACCATCACTACCACCACCATCACCACCATTATCACCATCACCACCATCATCGCCATTACCACCACCACTGTCACCACCACCGTCATCATAATCATCATCACCATCACCACTACCACCACCACTATCATCATCGTCATCACCACCACCAGCATCATAACTGTCATCAGTACCACCACCACCACCATCATCACTATCATTATTACCACCACCATCACCATCATCACCATCACTACCACCACCATCATCACCAGCATCATTATCATCATTCTAATGTTATTTTCTTGTTCTTTTTCAGCAAGCATTTTAATAAGCAACAACTTGGATAATGTTGAAACAAGACAAGGCTGCTTCTTTCATTTGTTTTTAAATTGTGGAAGTGGATGTCTTCAGACCTCGTGAACTGTGGGCATGTCAAAGGTTGTCTTGGAAATGGCAAATATATATACTGCTTCATTTTGCTAACCTGCATAAATCACTAAAACCAATAGCTGAAAGCATAGACACTTCCCAAAGGTCTTCCCATCTGTTTGTAAGAGTGGGAAGAACCAGAATCTTACCTGGGGCTGATGGAGCTGGAACCCCCAGACCAGGAGTTGGGGCAGGCTGCCTGCCCTAAAGAATTTGGGGAAGCCTTGTTCAGAGTAGTGAAGCATAGCACTTGGAGTTGCTGAGTTGTTTTGTCATCTATTTTTTTCTTCTTCTTTTCTGCCCTAATAAACATTGGTATTAAATTTAATTTTAGTAGGCTCTTCCTTTCACTCTTTTTTTTTTTTGAGATGGAGTCTCATTCTGTCACCCAGGCTGGAGTGCAGTGGCATGATCTTAGCTCACTGCAACCTTCGCCTTCCAGGTTCAAGCAATTCTCCAGCCTCAGCGTCCTGAGTAGCTGGGGCTACAAGTGTGCACCACTGTGCCCGACTAATGTTTGTATTTTTAGTAGAAACAGCATTTCACCATGTTGGCCAGGCTGGTCTCAAACTCCTGACCTCAGGTGATCTACTCACCTTGGCGTCCCAAAGTGCTGGGATTACAGGTATGAGCCACTGCTGCCAGCCTCTTCCTTTCTCCGTAAGAAGTGAAGCAGAGATTTTTCCCCCTTGTTTATCTTTGCAAATCTAGCATCAGAAAGCTTACTTTTCTTTGAATGAATGAAAATACAAATGCCCAGCAATTTTGCACAAGGGCAACATATATATATATGTGTGTGTTTGTGTGTGTGTGTGTGTGTATGTGTGTATATGTATATGTATATATGTATATATATATGTATATGTATATATGAGATTATTTGCCCAAGGCCAGCTCTGAAAATAGGGCCATTGCTTAATACCAGTTGCACGCCCTGGTGTTTCAGCAAAGGCAACATTTCTTGTGAAAAGTGGGTTGTAACTCCTGTATCCCAGAGGCCCTCACCTGCCCTATAATCCCAGAATCAAAGATTGCACAATTAGAGGTCGAGAAAAGCAGAAATTTGGAGGGCAAGGGAAGGTGGGCCATATGGTACTAGGGAAAGAAGAATCTGGCATCCTCAAACAAAGGAAGGAGGGATGCCCACACACCCAGGGCTACAGAGGAGGGCTTGTCCCAAGGGAGGTTGGGTGGTGTATTAGTTCATTATGCATTGCTAGAAGGAAATATCTAAGACTGGGTAATTTATACAGAAAAGAGGTTTAATTGGCTCACAGTTCTTCAGGCTGTACAGGAAGCATGACACTGGCACCTGCTTGGCTTCTGGGGAGGCCTCAGGAAACTTACAATCATGGTGAAGGATGAAGTGGGAGCAGGCATGTCACATGGCCAGAGCAGGAGCAGGAAGATGACACACATTTAAAACAACCAGATCTTGTGAGAAGCCACTCACTAGTGAGAACAGCACCAAGGGGATGGTACTACATCATTCATGAGAAACTGCCCCCATGATCCAATCGGCTCCCACCAGGCCCCACTTCCAACATTTGGGATGAAATTTCCACATGAAATTTGGGCAGGGACGCAGATCCAAACTATATCAGGTGTGTTTGTCTAGGGAAAAAGGTACTGAACCTCCCAATAATAAGAATAACAACATTTTGGGTCAAACTCCGTGCAGATGATCCCTGACTTATGTGAAAGTGATATGCCCTCAGCCAAAACCATACTTCAAGGAGCCCGTATGACCATTCTGTTTTTCACTTTCAGTACGACAGTCAATAAATTATATGATGAGCTCTTCAACACTTTATTATGAAATAGACTTTGTATTAGATGATCTTGCCCAACTGTAGACTAACATAAGTGTTCTGAGCACATTTACAGTAGCGCTAGGCTGAGCTGTGATGTTTGGTAGGTTAGGTGTATTAAATGCATCTTCGACTTCCAGTGAGTTTATTAGGATGTAACCCCGTTGTAAGTCTAGGAGCATCTGTACTATCCCCAATTTATAGATGAGGAAACTGAGGTTTACAGAATTTAGGCAGTGTATTAGTTTTCTATTTTGACTGTAACAAATGACTTAGTGGCTTAAAACAACACATTTGTTATCTTAACGTTCTGTATGTTAGAAGTCCAAAAGGGGTCTCATTGGGTTAAATCAATGTGTCAACAGGACTGCATTCCTTTCCTTTCTGAAGGCTCTTTGGGTGAATCTATTTCTTTGTCTTTTCTGGCTACCCTCCTTTCTTAGCTTGTGACTCCTTCCTTCATTTCAAAGCCAGCAATGGTGAGTTGAGTCTCACGTCATATCACTCTGCTGTTCTCTTTGGCCTCCATCTTCCACTTTTAAGGACTGTTATGATTAAATTGGGCCTTTTAGATAACTCAGGATAACTAGGTCAGTTGATTAGCAACTTTAATTCCACTCACAATGCTAATTCTCACTTGCCATATAGGTAACATTTTCACAGGTCCAGGGATTAGGACATGGACATCGTAATGTCCCATGTTTGTTAGGGCAGAAAAGAAGAGGAAAAGAAGAGGAAAAAAACATCTTAGGGAAGTCATCATTTTTCCTACCCCAGGCAGTTTGTTCAGGTTCGTACAGCTGGTGGGCAGAGAACCTGGGATTTGAACCTGGAAAACCCCTTACTACTCTGGCTCCTCACCCAAACACTCTGCACCTCTGCCCTAAACCGGATGTTCTTCTGCCTTGAATGAAGTAGTTTTCCAAACTGATTTCTTTGAGGGCTGAGGATGCATCTTATCAAGACTCAACTGCACTCCTTACCTAGCTGGGATGTCGTCTGAGCACAGACACTTTCCATGGGCTCTGATATTTAGTGCTAGGACTTGCCCAGGGTACATGGTACAGTGGTGGACAGAACGCTCCCTCAGTCTACCTCCCACCTGCCTCTCAGAGTGGTCTACGAGAAGTAGGAGCTGAATCTGTGCATGTGGGACAGAGTGCACAGGAATCAGACTAACAGGTCCCAAAAGAGAGAAGGAGGGAAGCAGAATTAAAAATAAATCAAACCCACAGGGAGCCAGGGTCCTGCATCTAGGAAGAGAAGGAAGGGCTTTCTTGAGGTTCTAAGGACCCTGGGTATGGCTCACATATCAGGGGCAAAAACTTCCTTTAAGAACAAACAGAGGATTCTTCGTCAGTCACATTCAGCCTGGTTCTCAGCCTCCTCGCCTTGACACATAAAATGGAGGTACTTACGCAGCACACACTCTCTTGAGGCCCACAGATGAAGGGGCTAAAGTGCATCCATTCACAGTGAGATGGATGCAACTTCACACCCCCTTAGCCCACCACCAAAGTTTCTCAGAGGGCAGGTGAGTGACAGAAATCTTGAAAGTGGCTGACAGCAGTAGTTCATAATCCAGGCTCGGAGTCACACTGCCTGCATTCAAATCCTGGCTCCACCGGCTAGGTGTGTGTCCTTGAGCAAGCTCATTAACCTCTTTGGGCCTGAGTTTCCTTGTCTGCAGAATGAGAAGGCTTAGAGTACTTAGTTCAAAATGCCATTGTGATAATTAGTTTATTGGGTACACACTTCATGAAACTAGCTATTATTATTTTAAAATTCTTGGGCATTATTCTATTAATTAAGACAAAATGTCTTGTCTCTGTCTCTCTATTTTTTAAAAAACCTTTTATTTAGAGAAAAGGTGAAGAGTGTTTGGGTGACTTAGAGTCAGAAAGCCTCCTACTTGAGAAAGGGTTGCCATCTTTACAATATTGCATCTTCCTATCTATTAACATGGTCTATCTCTCCATTTACTTAGGCCATTTTTATGTTCATCATTAAAATTTTACAGTTTTCTGAGCACTTTGGGAGGCTGAGGTGGGTGGATCACGAGGTCAAGAGATCGAAACCATCCTGGTCAACATGGTGAAACCCCATCTCTACTAAAAATACAAAAAATTAGCTGGGCATGGTGGCGTGTGCCTGTAATCCCAGCTACTCAGGGGGCTGAGGCAGGAGAATTGCCTGAACCCAGGAGGCGGAGGTTGCCATGAGCCGAGATTGTGCCATTTCACTCCAGCCTGAGCAACAGGAGTGAAACTCCATCTCAAAAAAAAAAAAATTTTTTTACAATTTTCTTTGTAAAGGTCACACATATTTTTTAAAAACAGCACTAATGCTAGATACATTATAGATCTTTAACAATTATAACTGGAATTTTCTTAAATTTACATTTTCTAGTTGGTTATTCTGGTATGTGTAGGAATAATATTGATTTTTTTTTTTTGAGATGGAGTCTTGCTCTTGTCACCCAGGCTGGAGTGCCGTGGCATGATCTCTGCTCACTGCAACCTCCGCCTCCTGGGTTCAAGTGATTCTCCTGCTTCAGCTTCCTGAGTAGCTGGGAATACAGGCGCATGCCAGCACTCCCTGCTATTTTTTTGTATTTTTAGCAGAGATGGGGTTTCACCATGTTAGGCAGGATGCTCGATCTCCTGACCTCGTCATCCTTCTGCCTTGGCCTCCCAAAGTGCTGGGATTATAGGCGTGAGCCACCATGCCTGGCTTGTATTGATTTTTATATATTGTTTGTATCCAAAAGCATCCCTCCTGGGAAAGTCCTATGGTGGAGCAGAAACAACTTTACCAAGGGTTTCTCCAGTGGGTGCAGCTCATAGGCCTCCAAGCTACTGGCAGAAGCATTCTGGCTTATTGACTAACACATGTGCTTCCTGAAACAGGCAGAGACCATTGGCTAATATGGCCTGGGTTTGGGATCAGAAAAAAATGGGCATAAGGATTTCCAGAGGGAATTACATTTCATATTTCATCTAATCAACACTGAAGCCCTTGAAAAAAAGTATGCTTATTCTTCCTAGAGGTTCAGAGAGAAATAAGATCTCAGTTCGAACGAACTTACTGTCTAGTCGGGGAGACAGATAGCGGCTCTATAGATCAGGGGTTGGTAAACTTTTTCTGTAAAGGGCCTAAGAGCAAGTATTTTTGTCTTTTGGGCCATATCATCTCTGTCACAACTACTTAGCTATTGTATTTGTAAAGCAGCCAAAGGCAATAAGTAAACAAATGGGCATGGCTGCTGTATAGAGGGAAAAGTAGTGGACAATTATGGGGTAAATGGTGGAGTGGAAAGAAACCTAGTTTTGGAGTGAAATAGATTCTAATTGCAATTTAACCTTCTGCTGAGTGGTATGACTAGGTGAATCACTTACTTTCTTCAAGTCTACTGCTCCCTCATGTATTTATATATTTTTTTGAGATGGAGTTTTGCTATTGTTGCCTAGGCTGGACTGCAATGGCATGATCTCGGCTCACCACAACCTCAGCCTCC